TCCTAGTAATCCGGTTCCCTATTTTCGTGATGGCTATGCAGTCACTACAGTTCCTTTCAGACTTTCTCCCCGGTGTGGGGAGGACGAGCCACCATGGCAGGAGATTGATCCACATCCTCACCCAGAGGGGGTTCCACCAGCAAATAATCCACCCATTCTTCAATTACAATAATATCACACTCTTCTGTACAGAGATTATGTAGAGGGGCACAACCGGGGCAGGGGGCACAGCAACAGCACTCGCACCAGCAGCAGCCATCGCAAAACCAGCCCATCCGAGAGCCAGGCAGCGTCGCCTAACCAACCCTGCCGTGCTCGGCTTTTCTCAGCTTCGGCTTCAAGGGCCCGTCACCAGGGTCCACCGTCCGCTCCGTTGGCGGGGGCCCTGGTCCCTTCCCCCTTGTGTAAAGTGCCCACCCTTTTTCTCTTGTCCAGGCAGCTGTTTCGGTCATCAGCAACACCAGTTGTGGGCCTTTCCATTCAGGGTGCAGCTTGGAGTCCTTCCAGGGCTTTACCAGAACCCAGCTTTAAACAGATGTACTGTGAAGTCCAGGGGAGCCGCTCGTGCCAGTAGACCCTTCTCCCCGAGGGCAGATAAAGGGGAAGATACCCCCAGTATACACTTCCGCAGACATTTATCTTTTGACTCGAAACTTGGAAGCTCCCCCAACTGCCCCAAGTTAGGCAATTCAGACAGCATTTCATAGGGTGATCTCCCTGTATCCCTCCCCGGAGCAGATCGCATCCATCCGGGGCAGGGCCACAGGTGAACACTTTGTCCAAGGCAGTCCAGTCTCCATCATTAGTTTCTTCAATTGCTGCTTTCGGGTCTGATCCCTCCCAGCTCCTCCATCCTTGCTGCTTCAGCCTCCTCATACTTAAGGCTTATAAAAAGGAACTTCAGCCAAGGGGATCAAGTTCAGTATTGATCACCGATCCCAGAATGATCTCCCTTTACATGAATAATTGCCAATAGTTTTGGCAGAGCCAGTTTTTACAGTACTTGCACCAACTTCTAATGCACCAAAACCTTTCCTCTGCTCATGATCAAACTCCTTTCCTGCCAGATTTTCCCAAAGGCATGTGCTAGCCCAAATACATCCCAGTGCCACATCCGTTTTTAGAAATTAATCTACGAGAGCCTTAGCTCCCCAAAGGCTCCTTTCACGGAGTCTCTGGATTACTTGCCTAGCCAGTCCCTTAGACAGCCATTCTCAGCCATCAGACATTACCCATCTTCCAGAGTCTAGATGCTTCTCAGCTCCCAGTTCCTTCCGACAATTTCAGGGCTCACTTCAGAACCCATAACTCACGCATTTGGGCTGACCAGGGGAGGATGGTCTCCCACGATCCCCCACCTGGTTCCCTTTTATCACTTTGCATCCATGATGCCTTTCCCCTTACTTTAGTTTCCAGATCCACTAATTCCACACAATCATGCTGTTACTCCAAGTCGCAACTGCCTCCCACCAAGAAATCTACAGGATTCACACCTCCTCCAGGAGTCAAAATCAAATCTAGATGATTCATCAATACAGCCTCATACTGGTAAGTCAGGAGTCAGTTCATGACTTTCCAGCCCTGGTGGCTGACAGAGCTTGCACTGGCTTTGTCCACCAATAAGGCTGCACAGGCTGCTTCCCCCATCCCTTTAATGCCAGCCCTCTCGCTGACTCCCCTTCCTCAGTAAATACTGCAGTGGCAAGTAAAAAAAATGCTCCTATTCACCATGGCCTCCTAAACTTTCCTTTAGCGCTCTTCCCCAGGGGGCACCTGAGCCTTTCACGAGGAGATGTGCAGCATCATTTGCACGTCATTCCAAGTTGAATGACAAAACATAGAAACAAAGTGGGTCAGAAAGGGGGTCCTCCCCTGGTCATCTAGTCTGACCCTGTTTCAGCCAACTCTGTTCCTATAATCCACAACATGTGGTTGTCCAAATTTCTTCACTAGAGATTCCAGCCATCACCAAGAACCCATTTGTAGATCTGGCAGGGAGGACAGCTTCCTCTCCGAATGGGCCAAACGGCTGTGTGTGCGGGGGCACCAACATGGGAGAACCACGGCCCTGGGAGTCGGAGGAGTTTAACTCAAGTAGTGTAGCAGGAAGCAATGTCTCTCTGACGTCTAGAGATCCTCATAAGAAGGGATCTGCCCGGTGGACCCTCAAGACTTCTATTACTGGACATTTGTGTTTTGCACGGTCCAGAACTGGGTTCAGCCAGATGGTGGGGACTCTGGTGCGCAGTACCCAGATGTTCAGCAATAGGAGTTCTGCCCCTCGGTCTTATTGGTGGAGTGGAGAGAACTTGACTCAACCAAATATCCCGTTGAGAAAATAGCTCAGTTAAAAGGACTATGGAAAGAAGTGGGGAATGTCACCTTGGACTGGAAGGCTCCAGATGGATTATTCTGGATCTGCGGAAAGTTTGCGTACACCCAATTGCCGAAGAGATGGCCTGGAGCATGTGTGTTGGGGACCTGTCCGGATTGGGCTTGTCCAATCCGGACAGGTGTCACGGCGGCCAGGCAGGATTAGGAAGCAAAGAATTTGAAAGAAACAAAGGAACCTGCAGGTTGGGCAGGCACCTCTCCCCAGGATGGGGCTTTCACCTGGCGTGCAGGTGACCTGCAGTGGGGATGCCCCTGCTCGGCGCCCCCCAGCCCTGCGGCTGGCCCAGTGTGCTGTGTAATGCTGGGCAACCCCGAGGGGTTGCAGGTCTGGAGCGGAGAGGAGCCACCACACTGTCTCAGCTCCCAGGCCCGCGTGCCCGGGCTTCTGGTAGCTGCAGAGGGCCGTCACGCCCCCCCACCCCCGTCTTCCTCCCCGAGCACGAGCATGCCCACTTCCCTCAGTGCTTCCCCGTAGGGCTTCACCTCCAGGCGCTGGTCTGCATCTTCCCGAAATCTGGGTGCCCGGACGGCACTTGCCCTTTCGGGAGCTGCACTGCGTTGCTGGCTCCTGTTCCGCCAGATGTCCACAATCGCCCCCAGGACGCCCTTGCCCCCCCCCCCCGTCCGCTGGGGCCACGGGTTCCCCACCTGGCCTCGAAGCCTCGCTTCCGCTTCCCGAGGTGGGGCCCTTGGCACTTGGCCCGGCTGAATCCCACTCGCGCGTCCGCCCAGCATCAGACTTGCCCTGGCCCTCCGTCCGTCCTCCGGGAGGGGCTTTAGGGCCCCGCGGGAGGGGCCAGGGCGGGTGAGGAGGGGTCTCCTGCCGCACGGCCTTTCCTTCCCCTCCTCTCCTCGGCCCCTGCCTGCAGGGGGCACCCTGGGCACACCCTGCACGGTTCCTGGGACAGCCTGCCTGGTTTCGGGACCGGGGAAGGCTGTCCTCCTTCACACATCCTTTCAGACTGGATTGTAGCACCGGAGTGTAAGACCTCCCTCTGCTCGGGCAGATTCCCACCTCCCCTGTACTTGAACTTGCAATCCTTCAGTGATCAGGCAATTGCAACCCATGCATTTTAATGTGGCTGTCCTGATAGGGCATTCCGCAGCATATCAATTTGGAAACAAACAAATTTCAAACAAACGAAGGGACCTGCAGGTTGGGCAGGCACCTTCCGCCAGGATGGGCCTTCACCTGGCATACAGGTGACCTGCAGCGGGGATGCCCCAGCTCGGCCGTCCCGGCCCTGCGGCTGGCCCAGTGCGCTGCGTAATGCTGGGCTGCCCCGAGGGGCTGCAGCTCTGGAGCGGAGAGGAGCCACCGCCTGCGCCAGGCACGACGGACAGGAAGGGCAG